TAAAAATTAAAAAAATTTAAATAATAAATAAATTAAATAGTATTAATTTGATATCCTAGACTCTTTTTATTCAAAATATAATGTCAAAAAAGGGGTTGTATTTTTTTAAAAACATTACCGGATTCTTTACCAAAAGACAATTGATGACTACAAAATGCTTAAAATTAGACATCCAAGCAAAAAATAACCAAGATAAGCTTCTCTTTTGTTCAATGTAACAATTTTCTGAAAAAAAAAATTATTCTTTTTCCTTCGGTCTACACTAAAACCGTTTAATGCATATTTATTATTTTAAAATACTTATTCTAACAAAGCTTAAGAAAGCGAAATATTATTTAATAGCACAGACTATTTCGTAAAAAAAATAAGTAATAAAATTCTTTGGTATATTGCCAAATAAAAACCAATGAGAATTTCTTTATTGCCAACATTATTCATAGTTGTAAAACATGCGTTTACAAACAACGTTTAACTATGAGAAATTTCGCATCAGATAAATTAACTGGATTTTTTTTTTTTTTAATCTAAAGATAACATCAGAGAAACATTGCGTCAAAAGTAACAAATATTTATCTCAAAAACTGTTAGAAAATAATAAGAAATTGATTTATCTGATTGATGACTTACACAATCTTACATTTCTTTCAGCTGTTTATAAAATTATTCTCACCATCTTTTTAAATAGGAGATCAATTGTTTTTATGGTCAATTGGCAAAAAATCATCACATCTTGCGCGCAATCGCTTCGTCACATAAAGAAGACTAAAATTTAAAAAAAAATTTTTTTTTTTAAAGCATCTGCTATTTTTGTATTTTGCCGTGTTGATTTATTCTTGATTAATTCTTGTGGATTGATGTATTTAGTTGTTAATTACGGAATTCTTTTATTTACACTTTTTTTTAAATTAATAATTTAATTAAAATTTTCAGTTAAAGATTTTTAACGTAGCAACAAAACAAGTTACAAAGATTTTTAACATAACCTTAACAAACACTGATGAAATAATTTGAATATGTTATATTTTATTTTAATGGCGAGCGAATGATTGGAGGGTCAGTTTTGATAAATGTTATTAGCGACTGTTTTCTAAAGCAATAATTTAAACAGAGCATATTTCTTATTTAAACAAGTTGAATTTAGTTTATCATAGTTCCATCGCAATCGAAAAATCAACGTAAGCGACAAAATATTCCAAATTGAGATTTATATGTATATTTTGACACTTTTTTCTTCTCTTTCGTAAGCTAAATATTGAAAAAACAAAAAAAAAAAAAAAGATCCATTTANAAAAAAAAAAAAAAAATATTTTTTCAAAATTAGATTCAGTTTTATCAGTTTTTTGAAATTTTTCTTTTAGCGTACAAAAACATTAGCAATGGAAAGAAAAGAGTTATTGTAAGGACGCTATACATTTTCTCGATATTCATCGATATTCTCGATATTTACTTATTTATATACATATATATATATATTTTTTTTTACACTTAAGCACTTACGTTGTTTTTTGAATTGTACGGCAGAGTTCACCTTAGCCAAATACAAATACTTAATTATAAGAATTATTGATGCGATTAATTTACCTAAGCAAAAGTGAAAAAATAACTTAGGTTTATTATAACGGTAATAGTTAATTAGTCACAGAATGTAGTTTTAAATTACCGAGAGAAGTAATTTCGTTAAAATTAAAATGTGTGCTTTTTAAAATATGTACTGTAGCTGCTAATTACTCCATTGAATAAAATGCACGATTTCACAAAGTTAGGTCTGCTAACGAACCCTTCACAAATTATTTTATCCTAAAAATGAATCCTTCACAAGTTATTGTACAGTAAAAATGGACCCTTAATAAATTATTTTACACTGGAAAAGGCTCCTTCAAAAATATTTTTATTATTACAAATGAATTTTTTATAAAATTGCTTCGAGCAATAAGTGGTTAATCATTACATCTCTAATATATTAAAAAATACCCTGCAATAGGTAACAATATAAATGTAGTAATAATCACGATAACGTATACTTTGATCTAAACTAATGCTACATTTCGAATAAAGCAATTTCTTGCGCAATAGGTAATTAATCATTAAATCCCTAATATATTCAAAAATATCCTCTAAGAAGTAATAACATACAAGTTGTAAAAATCATACTAAGGTATACTCTACTTTAAATCAAGGCTAACTTTCAAATATCTTAAAAATGAATCCTACACAAGTTATTTTACAGTAAAAACGGACCCTTCATAAATTATTTTATAGTGAAAAAGGCCCCTACAAAAATATTATTTTTATCGTACAAATGGATTTTTTATAAAAGTTGTTTCGAAAAATGTCACTGTATTTTCATTCATACCTTTAACTCCCGGACAGACATGGATTTTATTTTTTTATTTTATTTACAAAACCTGGATCTAATATTCACATATTCCCAAAAGCAGGACCTTTCACAATAAGTCTGGATAGACTAAATGGTATTAGTGATTTTTAAAAACTCAGTAACAGAACTGTGTTTTTATAAATTCACAAAATGAGTAGATTTTTCATAAATTCACGAACCTATATAGAAAAGCCCGAATAACGCCTGATGAAAGCTATCATATCGAGGATTACGATTTATAAATGGATACATAAAAGAGATTTAGTTTACGTCGTCCTGAGATAGAACAGTTTTTACGTTTTCGTAATTTACAAATGATCTCTATACTTTATCTATATAGTGCTATATAGATCAAATATAGAGATCAATTTAAAAATCATTAGTATCCAACTGCATCGAAAAAACGCGATTTTAAGGAGAGAAAAAAATGGAGATATTGTATGACTGAAATTAAAAATCTTGCTAACTTAAGTATAAAACTCTAAGAATAATTCAATATTTATCACTTTTTTTCGTTTTTTTTTAAATCTAGACAACAAAAATATTGTATGTATCCATAAAAAAATGACGTTTTTTATTATTGAATTTCTAATAATGTGTGACCGTTTTTAAACGAATGACTGTAATTAAAATTTATCAATAAGTTTAATAATAATTAGTTTTGAGACATTCTAAAACTTCTTGGAATATTCCAGACATAGCTTTCGTGAAAGGGGATGAAGGAGAAGAATCTATTATTTATGAACAGAACTATATTTTAACTATTTAATTTCTAATTACTAATAGAGAACTGCTCAATTATCCCGAAACAGACGATAATTAGTGTAATTATTATGTTATTAATTCGATAGAAAATCTATAAATATGTATTATACGCTGTCTATATCGGTAAAAGAAAAATGTGTGTTAAAAATAATAATATTCATAAATATCTATTACAATATCTATTATCTATTGCCACATATTGAAATATTGTGAGTGACGAAGTGGTTTGTGTTAAGCACTTATTTTAAACTTTCTCTTATTAAGTTTGGCAAAAACTTATTTAAGTCACAAACGAGAGAGAATATTAAATTCAGATCCAAACTTTTTACATTATTGATATATTTCTTTAGTGGGTCGTTAGTTTTTAAACAATGTTCAGTGCCTGCCATTGGGAAAAAAAAAGAAAAAAAGTTTTTAAACAATGATTCGAACAGATTTATTATGCAACCTACTACTTACTAATTTGCAGAGATTTTGAGGGGGGAAAAAAGTTTTTTATTTTTCATTTTTAGATTTGATCGATTTTTTTATTGCAACAAATATTAATTAAATTTCAAAATTGTTTTACAATGGATAATTACGATTATAGCACCATATATTTGTTACATGTAAGACTATTGCGTTTTTATTTTTATTTATTTATTTGAATTTTGCCTACAGGTACAATACGCATAAAAGCAAGAAAAACAACTCGAATTTAGAATGTTAAAAATCGAATTTGACATGAAAGCAAATCACATTTTAATAAAATGAATCTTTAAGAGCTCCATATTAGGTACTTTGCAATTAAGTGATTGATGTAATCTCAGTTTTTCTAAAAATAAATGTTTTTCTTTAAACTGTTCCTAAATTTTGTTTCCAAATTTTTACTTTACAGAATTCCGAAATTTCAATTAGACAACAACATAATACACAGAAACATTCAATTGCTTACTTAGCAATAGTGCTATTTTTTTTACCAACAAAATTTTTTGTGATCGATTTAAAAAGTGGCTTATTATTTTACTGCCCCATGCCCATTATCGTACGTCGGAAATTTTGTATCCATCAAATCCGGATTTTTCCTGATGCGATTATGCGATTTTCGGATAAGCTGACCGCTGACCATATGTTTGAAAAACTCACACGTCAATTTTATAACAAGTTGGCAAAAATCCCTTTGCTTAATATTTAAAAATAAGTGTAAAAAAGTTTTTACATAATGAAAGCAAATTAAATTCATATAAATATTGCCTCGCAAACAAATTTTTCAAAAACTAATTTCAAATTTGAATGAAACGTCTAAAATTATTTACTTCAAATTGCATTTCAACTAAATATTAATTATGTCAATGCCAGGAATCTAATATGAATAAGTGCAAAATCAATAATATTAAAATAAAAAAATAGAATAAATCATATAAACAACAAAATCGACTAAAACAAATAAATATATATACAATACATATTTTCTTACGTAATATATATTTTCTTGCGTTATTTATCCTAAATGCTCAACGCAGATTTAAAGAATGTTATATCTCAAACTTTCGTTACATGACTTTGACTGTCGTATTACCAGGCTTGAATTATTTATTGAATAAAATCCCGGAGATCTTATACTTATAAAACTGTATAAATGTATATATTTTAATGTTATATGCTTATTTTAAATGTTCATCTTAATTTCGAAGGATGTTATAGTACCAATCACTCGTTATTATGAATTTGGCTATTATCATATTACCAGGCTTTATTTATTTTTTTACTTTAAAAATCTGGAGATCTAAGCAAGAAAGTAAAATGTGGATTTTTTTTATTTGAAAGTTCTGTCACTGCAAATAAGAAAAATTAAAAAAAAAAAAAAAAGAAAACTTACCTTGAATGTTATCCTCCAAAAGAGGTCGTGTAATCATGTCAGATTAAAACTCCTGTTTTCCGTTACCCTGACGAAAACAACGTACAGGAAAACTGGATAAATTGCAACGGCAAACACAAGTATTAGATTTTATCTAGTTCACATTCAACAATATGAATTATAAATATGATATCTATAGTGTGAACTATAATAATTTCCAAATTGAAAAGAACTTAAGGTATAAAATCATTAAGAAAGTAACAGCATCTTAACTGTTCTTTCGTGTCTCATTTTTTATTTAAATATCTGTTATCTAAAATAACAAGGATACACACACAAAAAATAAACCGTTATATCTGTTATTTTTTGTTACTTTATAAAATCACCGCTACTATGTATTAATGATATGCGGCGGTTCGTGCTAAAGGGTATAACTGAACTTTCACAGCTATCACATATTCACCTCTCCTCGTAACATTTTGCTTAGTTCTGGTAAGAACAGAAGCGCGTTTTGAGTATACTGCTGCTCAGAGCAAAAATCTGATGAGTAAGGGTTACCATCGAACAGTCGCAGTCTCGCCAAGATAGCGAAAGTATATCGCCAAAATGAGGAAATTCAGAGTCAAGCAATTAACTTCTATTTTTAGAGTTCATTGTTGTTGGTTCATCTATATCATTTGCGTGCAATAAATTTAAGCAATAAAATTCGAGTTAGGATTAAAATTAATTCGGATATATAACATTCAAAACTTCATAGGTTCGTAAGGTTTCTGTTCTATGTAATTAGTCGCTGCTTAGTAAAAAAGTACCAAGGTTCCCAAATTTCATTTCTATTTTAGCAATTAAAAATTAATGACCAGAATGATCTTGAACTTCGAGATTTCTTTTGAAATTAACATTGCATATTAGATTTTCACTACCGAAAAAATAGTGCCACAAAAGTTAAATAATAAGGAAATAAAAAAAGTATTTATGTTACACATGCTAAAGAAGAAGGATTACATATTACAATAAAATTTATGTTAATGAAATATTTTAAAATAATAATAATTATTATAGGGGAACAGTAATAATAAAAATAGGAATGATAGACTGAATAATAAAAATATTGATAAAATAAATGACAATAAAAGGATAAATTAAACAATAACATAACAGATAGTTAATTCATGGTAATTAATATGATTAATAAATATTGAAATAATATGATTGTTGAAATAAATAATATTAGTATTGATTAACTAAATAATAATATAATTGTTAACTAAAATAATATTAATAATGGCAAACTATATTATAATAATATTCATCAACTAAATAATACATAAATTGATAAATTAAGTAATAATAAGAAAGAAAAAGTAATAAAGTAAGACTGAAAAATGAAATAATATGAAATGTTAAACTAAATAACAGTGGTATTAGCAAACTAAATAGTATTGATAAACTAAAAAGTAGTAGTAAAGATATGATAAGAAAAAGTAGTAATAAGATTTGATTTTTTGTTTTTGTTTCGTTGAACAGTCGACCCAAATTTGAGTTTACGACTATTAATGTTCAACCCCGTAGGATTTTAATTTTGAACCCAATCCAGAAGACAAGGGAACTCTTGGATCAAGTATTAGAATAAATGTGCCTTCGTGAAGGACTTTTTGATGGAACTAACCCACATTTGAGTTACATAGAAAGGAGAACCACGAGAGCCTGGTTCCACGATTAGCCTGATGCCAAGGGGACTCTACCCCAATCTACTACTGAGTCTAACAATGAGACTCCGTCTACCACAAAGGATATTTTAAATCAGATCTGTGGTTGGAGCGGAATTCGCATTGACCAGCAATGTCTCGGATTCGAACCCGGGTCACCTCCTAAGGAGGGTAGCGCTCCATCCCCTGAACCACCACTGCTCCAAGTAATAGGATTTTTAATTTTATATTATAACCATCGATGAACAACCGACCCAATTTTATGGGTTTAGAGCTACTAATGTTCAACTCCGTAGCATTGTAATTTTGAACCCAATTCAGAAGACAAGGGAACTCCTGGATCGAGTATTGGGAGAAATTTGCTTTCGTGGAGGACTTTTTGATCGAGCTAACCCACATTTGCATTGCATGGATAGGAAGACCACGAGAACCTTCCACGGTTAGCTTGAAGGCAAGGGGACTCTAACCCATGATCCGTCTACCACTGAGGATATTTCAGGTCAGCACTGTGGTCGGTGCAAGTCGGATGCGGAATACGCATCGACTGGGATTTGAACTCGGTTCACCTCATTAAGTAATAGGATTGGTGTATCAAGTAATATTAAATAAACTCAATAAATAACAAAGTAGATATAACTAAGCCGACACAATTTTATAAAGAAAAAGAGAGGCGAGCCAGAAATTTTGTTGCTGATGTGATGAAAAGGATTCAAGTGCTTTTCACACGCTATAGATGGAGTGTCATGCAAGCAATGATAAATAAAATTCTAGCAACTGTCAGTACATTTATTCCGTTTTTTGAAAGTAATACGAAGCAGAAGGATCGACAGCAACTGGCCAATCACAAAGAGTTTCATGATCACGAAGTGCTTCAACTTTGGAACTCCGATTTGCAATGGAAACGTCAACAAAGTTCAGAAAAGTCGTCGATGTAAGACATTCAGATAAACTTTCAGGTGGAGTCATTCTGTTGCAACGTTGAAGCACATACAGTCTACAATGAAGAAACTTTGGAAGAAACTCAAAAGTCCATTTGACTATGGCCACGATAGAATAACAAATAACTGTATAGATATTACCATACTTTTGAGTTTCATGACTAAAGACGATGCGGCTCAAGTTAGTGTAAAGTCTTAATCGATGCCTAATCAATGATTAATAAACATGCTTTATTTCAATTACCTCAAACTCCCACTGACATAATGTTGACGATTTCAAATCTCCCAAGTCTGAATAATTGATCATTAGGTAGGTTTGATGGTCTAAGCAGCCACCATGTTGGCTATTAATGCACCCTTTCGCGTCTTTCAAATAGGTTCTGTGGTTGGTTCTTACATATATAGTTTGTCTAAGCTAAGAACTCCTCCCGCCACAAAGTCTGAAGCCGTCTGGTGCTATGGAAACAAGAATGGCGGATTTTAGGGAGGGTAGCTTCACTTTAGGATAAACACAATAGACCGAAAAAAGAGATTCCCTTTCTCTCGCAGTCCCAAGCAGAAACCACTCCAAAACAGTGACCCCGCGCCCCTACTTGAAAAAGTCATACCTCGTTACCATAGACACCGCCACAGGTCTCGACGAATGTCTGGAGGTGTTCTTATTTCAGACAAATTATACACCTATCATCACTTTTTAGAGGTGTAGTTGTTCCAGATTTTATCTTCTGTACTTCAAAGTAGGCCACATTTAATTTATCTTGTCAACGATTTTATGAAAAACAAAGATATTCAATGAATGAATTTCCAGACAACCTGCCTGATATCAATCTTATAGGGTATGTCTAGGACACTCTTGGGAGAGAATTTTTTACTTGTGACCACCCAGCAACCACCAATGATCTAAAAACATCGTTCTGGAGTGAAATGGTCTAATTGTCCTTAACTGTCTCATTTCAATGGTAGGCTGAAAACACACTGACATGGAGCCAAATCGCTTATAGAGACCCAATTTTTTGTTCGATTCTGTAACCACTGTTTCACACTTTCTAAACTCCAAGAGTGTTCTGAAGAAGTATAATGGTTGGTTAACTATTAAAACTAATATTAATATCATTTTTATTCTTACATCAATCTACGTTCAAATCAAATTGCATTTATACCAGTCCAATAATTCTGAAAATAATCAGCCAAAACTGAAAATTCATTTAGTGTTGACTCCTTTGTGCTTTATTCATACTAAGCGTAATGAAAATGAAAAAAAAAAAAAAATTCTTTTCAGATGAAGTAAGGGTTGACTTTGTGTGAATAAAGTTTAACAATGTGAAAAAAAAGCACCCATTATACCACCATAGTACCACAAAAACGGTTTTTTAATGAAGAACCTTCATCGATATCCAAGCAGAGAAATCAAGAGAAAAACTGAATGAAACAAAATACAAACACAAATCCAAACTTTATCAGTATCTCAGCATTGTTTTGTTTGGACACTGACGAATTGAATTAGATTAATTATGATATTGATCTTATTTAGCCTTACTGAATTCCTTTTTTTTTCAAATTATGAAAAGCTTTTTGAATGTTATGAAAAAAATTCACAAAGGAAAATAGAATGCTTGATTTTCTTATTAGAAAAATTACGCTATTAAGCTATGCTTAAAATTAATTAATTTATTCATTAAAAAGAATTTTGCGCAAACTTTTTCGTAAAAGTTTTGGGTAAGGAATTTATTTTTTTCGATATTACTATTTGCGCCCTTAATGTATGCTTCTTAGTTCGCTACGTGTTTGATTTGACCCTTCATGACTAATTATTGATCATTCAAACAATAAAACTGCATTTATAAAACTATTAAAGCAATAAACTATAATTTAGATTGATTAGTTACATTTCTGGTATCAATTTCAGCCTGTTTATTTATGCAAACAAAATTCAACCTTTTTGTTCCATTTCATCAGTTTATCTCTGATGTAAATAAAGAAAGAAAAAATAATTTCATTTCTTCGAATGTTCCTTTCAGTCTTGGTGAAGGAAATTAAAAAAGCTGATAAATATCACACGTTTTTTCTTTCTTTTTTCATACCCAAAACCACTTTTTTTGTTCAGTATTTAACATTGCCTTGATTTAGCTAGGTAGTCATGCGAAAAATGCAACAATATTAAAAAAAAAAATATTCACTCAAATATGAAAAAAAGAACATTATTTTCTGCTGGAATGACATCAGATAAGGTATAATTAATGACAGTAAACTGGAAGCAGACGAACACTACTCCCTGTTCAATCGATATAGCAAGTCGTCTGAAATTATAGGAATTGAAAATTCCAGTTGGCAACAGTGAAAGGTAGAAAAATAAAAAGATCAAAATAAAAACTCGCGGCTTCGTTATAACTGTCAAAATGACAGACGATCCGATTTAGACGACCGTGATTTGATGCCACAGCAGATATAATACTGCAATTGTTCGATCGTAACTTATAAACTCAGGAATATAATGGAAATGAAGAAAAAAAAATATATTCGAAAAAATGTATTCAAAATTACACAAAATGAGGTATCTGAAATTGCGTTTTTAGAATTTTTGTACCTTTTACCTCCGACGCATTTGTTTCTGGAGATAATAGAACGATTCTTTTATTTTAGAACATTCTATTTCAAAGAAAAATCGTCCGAATATACAATATGTCACATTTTGAAAAGAGTTCCGTGAATTTATGTTTCCGTAATTAATCATACTTGATGGCAGTGGGTGCTTTAGCAAAAGCGGATATTTAATTAGTCTCGCTCTATTTATCTCGTGGTTTAAAGAGTCGCTGAGTTACTCAGTTTTAAACTGTATTTTTACAATCTTCAAATATAAGTTGATGGAGTTTTTTTTCCCCCGATTACTTATC